GGGGGGGGGGGCCCGTGCCGCCTGTATCCTTTAATCAACCTTGGAGGTGGGGGGGGGACTTAACGAAGTCCTGGCTCGTTAAGTCTTCGCTGTGAGGAGAAAATGGGGGCTAGGTGCCCACACCCCCCCCAAATATTGTTATTTTGGGGTGGTTTTCAGCCTCCCCCCCCAATCGGTGGTGTTTTGGGGCTGTTTTCACCATCCCTCCAAGGAAAAAAATGCAGCCCAGCTGCTCGCAGCCGCCACCTTTCCGCCTTCGTTAGCAAAGCTTGGGGCGTAATTAAGCCAGAGAAGCTTCTAATTAGTGGTAATTAAGAAACTGGTTGACGTCAAGAGGATGAAATCCCGGTTTGGCGGGTCAGGCTGGATCAGGGTCAGGGAGCTGATGGGCGTCGGGTTATTAGTGGGGTGCTGGCCTTAATTATTAATCTGCTGATTAATAGCTGGTGCTAATTCGTTAGTGGATTTAATTGTGTCCCAGATTGGGGGGCGGGGGGGTGGTGGTGGTGAGAGACACCCCCAAATCTTGCGCCGTCACCTCTGTCCCTCTCTCCCTTGCGCCGCCGTCCTTCTGTTGGTCACCTTGGCCTCTGCGTCTCGTTAAGCGCCGACTCGTTAATTAACCCTTGGGGTAAAACTTGGGGAGGGGGAAGGGGTTGTGTGATTAAAAATGGGGGTGTTGTACCCCCTCCGGACCTTCCTGGAAGGGGTCTGTCCCCTGATGTGACCCGAAACCGCCGTCCCCGTCCCCTGGGGTGACAGTGGCAATTAAAAATACAAGCAGGGGACACTTATCACCGCGGTGTCACCTCGGCACGGGGGGGGGCGACACCCTCGCGGTGTCCCCTGGGGGTCCCTCACACCCCTCCCTCTGTCGTGACAGCTGCATTTTAGGGGCAGTTTCCCCCCTTTTTGGGGGTCTAGAATCATTCCGGAATGCGTTTGTCATTATCGCCCTCTCAAAGGGGACAAAAATTGGGGGCTGGGAGGGAGGGGACAAGGCTCGGGGGGGGACACATGGGGTTGTCACTGTTGTCCTAACCCCCCCCTCTCCTTTCTTCTCTCCTCCCCACCAGGGTTTTTCTGCCATGGGCTCGGGCCCCATCGACCCCAAGGAGCTCCTCAAGGGCTTGGACTGCTTCCTGGGCCGCGATGGCGAGGTCAAGAGCACGGAGGGCATCACCAAAATCTTCAAGTGAGTCCCCAAAACGTCCCCTCGTGTGTGTGTGTGTGTGTGTCCCGCCTTGAGCATCACCACAGTGTGACTGGGGCCGGGGGAGGTCCTGACGCTTCGTTTCTCGTTAACCAGCTTAATGAAGGACTCGCAGAAGATGGTGAGTCGCTGCATCTACCTGAACATCTTGCTGCAGACGCGGGCGCAGGAGATCCTGGCGAAGTAAGACCGGCGAGAAGGGGATCTGGGGGGGGTCCAGGCGAGCAGGAATTGGGGGACGCACCTCATCCCAACCTGATCCTGATGGATTTTCCCTTCTTTTTCTCCCAGATTTATCCGGATCGGGGGTTACAAGCTGCTCAACACGTGGCTCACCAGTTCCAAAGCCTCCAACAATGTCCCCTTCCTGCAGCAGATCCTCCTCACCCTGCAGCACCTGCCTCTCACCGTCGACCACCTCAAACAGGTCGGAGTGGCCTTCGTGTCCCCACCCCATGGTGGCTTCTGTCCCACCCCACTGGCTTTTGGGTCCCCACAGGGGACTTTAGTGTCTTCCCGGGGTCGCTTTTGGGTCCCTCCCACGTGGCTTTTGAGTTCCCAGGATTGCTTTTGTCTCTTTGGTGTTGCTTTTGGGTCCCTCCCAGGTGGCTTTTGAGTCCCCAGCGTCGCTTTTGGGTCCCTCCTGGGTGGCTTTTGAGTCCCCAGTGTCACTTTTGGGTCCCTCCTGGGTGGCATTTGAGTCCCCAGTGTCGCTTTTGGGTCCCTCCCGGGTGGCATTTGAGTCCCCAGCGTCGCTTTTGGGTCCCTCCCGGGTGGCTTGTGTCTTGGCCTGGTGGCTTTAAGGTTCCCCTGGGTGATTTTTGTGCCCCTTGGGTGGCTTTAGTCTCTCCTGTGTGACTTTTGCGTCTTTCCTGGGTGGCTTGTGTCTCCCCTAGTGGCATTTGGGTCCCCCCAGGTGGCTTTTGTCTCCTTGGTGGTGTTTTTGTGTCCCCCCAAGGTGGCTTTGGTCTTCCTTGGGTGACTTTAGTCCATCCTGGGTGGCTTTTGTGTCCCTCCTGGGTGGTTTATTTCTCACCTAGTGGCTTTTGTGTCCCCCCAGATGAATTTGTGACCCTCTTGGGTGGCTTTTGGGTCACAGCAGGTGGCTTTTGTGTGCCCCAAGCTGGCTTTTGGGTCCTTCCTGTGTATCTTGTGTTCCCCCGGGTGGCTTTTGTCTCCCTAGGTGGCTTTTGTGTCCCCCATGGTGGCTTTTAGATCCCTCCTGGGTGGCTTGTGTCCCTCCAGGTTGGCTTGTGTCTCACCTGGTGGCTTTTGGGTCCTTCCCAGCTTGCTTGTGTCCCTCTGGGGTGGCTTGTGTCTCACACGGTGGCTTTTGAGCTCCCCCGAGTGATCGTTGTAGCCCCCCAAGGTGGCTTTTGCATCCCCCTGGGTGACTTTTGTCCCCTCAGAGTGGCATTTGAGTCTCCCCAGGTGATTTTTGGGTCCCCTAAGGTGGCTTTTGTCCGTCCCCCCCCCCAGGGTGGTTTCTGCCCTCCTGCATGTTTTATCCTCACGCGCATCTCTCTCTTTTCCAGAACAACACAGCCAAGCTAGTGAAGCAGCTCAGCAAATCAAGCGATGATGAAGGTGAGCGTGCCCCCACGCCCCCTAAACCCCCCAAAACCCCCTGAATTCCTCCCAAAATCTCCCCTTTAACCCCTTCTCTCCCCGCAGAGCTGCGCCGCCTGGCCTCCATCCTCGTCAGCGACTGGATGGGCGTCATCCGCTCCCAGAGCAGCACCCAGCCGACCGGTGAGCCCCGCTGCTGCGCCCCCTCTTCTCCGCTCCCCCCTCAATCCAACACCAGCGTCTCACCTTCTTCCCCGTCTTTTTTTTTTGTTTCGCCAGAACGGGATAAAAAGAAGCGAAAAGAGGAAAACAAAAGCAAAACACCCGTCCAGGAGAAACCCCAAGAAGCCAAAAATGAGGCTAAAACCGAGGAGATGCCGGAGAAGAAGCGGGAGAAACCCAAATCCCTGCGGACCACCGCTCCCAGCCATGCCAAATTCCGCTCTACCGGTAATTCTTCCTCCATCCCGTGGGGCGACGGCAGGTTTTGGGGTTTTTTGGGAGTGAATTTGAGGGATTGTGGTCGCTTGTGGGGTGCTGCGAGGGGATGCACTAACGACGTTTCCCCCCCAACACCCCAAACCAGGGCTGGAAATGGAGACGCCTTCGTTAGCGCCCGTGAAGAAAATGAACTCTTCTTCGACCGTTGATAAATACAACCTAAAACCGATGCCCATAAAGAGGCAAAAGTGAGTCTGGGGGTGACTTATGGGGGTCTTGGAGGGGCTCAGACCCGCTCTTAGGGGGCTCGGGTCTGGTACTGGGGGCTGCTTTTGGGGGTTTGGGGCCTCTGAGGGGCTGGGAGAGGCTTTTGGGGGGGTCCAGCTGCTTTTGAGGA